GGTAATCTTGTTACCTGGAAGAGCAAGAAGCAATCAGTGGTAACCAGAAGTAGTGCAGAAGCTGAGTACAGAGCACTAGCACAAGGAATTTGTGAAGGGATTTGGATAAAAAAGGGTTCTTAGTGAACTGGGACAAATGGGTTCATCTCCTATTCTGATGATGTGTGATAATCAGGCAGCTATCAGCATAGCTAAGAATCCCGTGCATCATGACAGAACTAAGCATGTTGAAATTGACATACACTTCATCATAGAGAAGGTGACTAGTGAGACTGTTAAATTGAACTACATTTCTACCAAGCAACAAACGGCAGACATCCTCACCAAAGCTCTCTCTAGACCTAACTTTGAAGACTTAATTTGTGTTGAATATTCGGAAGTCAAAGTTATGGATTTTATTTTAGGAAAGTATTTTAGGAATAAAAGAAGAGATCGGTTGTGATCTTCTCCTATGATTCTGTTTCCTATTTTTTAGGAAAGAATTAAGCTAGTTAGTTATTTCCTTTATTAGATATTGTTTATTATATGTAGTTGTAGTCCCGAGTTTTATTCAATAAGAAATTCAGAAATTCTTCAAGTCTTGAACGAACCTATGCCGCAACCAACCATTCCAGGATCATCGAGCTTCGGACTGAGCTTCAAAACATCAAAAAAGACGAGCTATCAGCAGATGAGTATATTCTTAAGCTTAGATCTATTGTTGATAAGCTTGCTTCCATTGGTGAACCTGTCTCGCACAATGATCATAATATTTATCTTCTCAGAGGTATATGGCCACAATACAACTCATTTGCAGACATAATTAATGCTAGGTCGGATCAACCAGACATTGATGAAATTCACAGCCTATTACTTGCTTGTGATTTGAGACTTTAGAGGCAGAATTCTGTTGAGCAGCTGAACCTTCTCAACCCTTTCCCAACAACTTAAACCCACAAGCAAACTTGTCTAACTTCCAACCTTTCAAAAAACACCAAGCTCAGAAGCCGTATCAAAATTTCTCCCAAAACCAATTCTCCAGACCTCAAAGCCAATACTCTCGTACACTAAGCCTCAGTTTAGCTCTTACAATCCAAATCAACCATATCTTTTAGGAAAACCCCAATTCTTTGTCCCACAGAATAAATGGTCACCAAGACCCACCTTCTCTACCAATGACACCAGAAACCAGTGCCAAATCTGCCTCAAAATTGGACATACTACCTCTGAATGTTATCACAGAGCCAACTTGCGCTACCAACCACAAACTAAGAACTTCACCCCTAGCCAAAACCTCACTCAGAACTCAGCTGCAGCAGCCTTTTTTGCTTCTTCATTGATGCCTACACCATCTGTTGTAATAGATAGCTCATGGTATATGGACTCAGGTGCCTCACACCATCCGACCTCAGATGCCTCAAATCTCAGTCCGGTTGCTCCCTTTCATGGAACTGAGCAGGTCATGGTTGGTGATGGTAAGACTATTTGCATTGCAAATATTGGTAACTGTTCACTACACATACACACACTAAACCATTACTACTGAATCTTGTGCTGCACACACCAAAAATTTCAAAAAATCTTATTAGTGTCACCAAATTGTGTTCGGATAACAATGCCATTGTTGAGTTTCATCCAAACTTTTTCTTGGTGAAGGACAAAACTTCGAGGGTCACTCTACTTCGGGGTCATCTTGAGCAAGGCCTATACAAAATCTCAAGTTCTTTTGCTTCTACATCTTCATTTGCCAACTCCATCAGTTTGCCTCTTCTCAAGATCTCAACCTTTGGCACAACAGATTGGGACATCCAGCCTCCAAAATTGTGTCTCAAGTTTTGCAGTCTTGTAATAAGAAAGTGTCGAAGTCTCATCTAGATTTATGTTAATCTCGTCATTTAGCAAAGAGTCACAAATTACCTTTTGTAATTTCAAATTCTAGAGCTTCTAAGCCTTTTGAATTTGTACACTCCGACTTGTGGGGGCCTTCTCCGATTTATTGATGATTTCTTGCAATTTACATGGCTGTACTTAACACAAAAGATGAAACATTTCCTACTTTTACCAAATTTAAAACTATGATTGAAACTCAATTTGATGCTTAGATAAAAACCCTCCAAACTGATTGGGGTGGGGGATACCGGTCGATCTCCACTTTTCTTGCTTCTCATGGTGTCATTCACAAATTAGCTTGTCCATATACACCACAACAAAATGGTCGCGTCGAAGGGAAACAGGCATGTCGTTGAAGTTGGTCTCACCTTGTTAGCTAATAGTTCTGTCCCTCTTACAATGTGGCCCTATTCCTTTCAAGACAGCACTTACCTAATTAATAGAATTCCCACTTCTGTCCTCTCAAACAAATCACCTTTTGAAATTCTGTATCACAAACCTCCTAACTATGACTTCCTCAAAACTTTCGGTTGTGCTTGCTACCCCTTTCTCTGTCCTTATAATAACAATTATCTCAAATTCCGATCAGCTGAGTGTGTTTTTATTGGTTACAGCTCTCAACACAAGGGCTATCTCTGCTTACATGTTTCAATCGGACGAGTCTATATATCTCGTCATGTCATTTTCAACGAAACACACTTTCCTTTTGCCAAAGCTACCATTGTTCCTTCCATAGATTCCTCTCCCTCTTCTTCCCAACCTGTGTCCTCCTTTACAATGCCTGCACCATTGTTCTCCACCACCTCTCCCTCTCCAAAATCCACACCTTTTCCTGCCTCTTCCTTTTGTTCTCCTCCTTCCATTTCACTCCAAAATCCTTCCGTTTCCACTTCCCCTTCTCCACTTTCTGTCACTACTGCACACGGTTCACCTAATGATCACACTTTAGCACCATGTGAACATGTTTCCACTACTTTGCCTTGTGCATCTAATCTTCCCATTGCAGATTCCGTTGCTTCTCCTCCACGCATTTACAGGTTGCTTGATCACACCAACACCCATTCAATGAAGACCATATCTAAAGTTGGAACTTTCAGGCCCAAAGCATTACTTCATACTGCCTCCTTGGAACCTACTTCCGTAAAACAAGCAATGGCCACTCTTGAATGGAAAGCCGCTATGCACACTGAGCTTTCTGCACTTCATGCTAATCATACTTGGTCTCTTGTTCCTGCTTCTTCATCTCATAAAGTAATTGGCTGTAAATGGGTTTATAAACTCACGTTGAAGCCTGATGGGACCATTGAATGTCATAAGGCTAGGTTAGTTGCTAAGGGGTTTCATCAAACACGTGGCCTTGACTACACTGAGACGTTTAGCCCAGTTGTTAAGCCTAATACAGTGCGGCTTGTTATCAGGCTTGCCCTCTCATGGAATTGGCCTATACGACAACTTGACGTTCACAATGCTGTTCTTAATGGTGACCTAAATGAGGAGGTGTTTGTGGAGCAACCCCTAGGGTTTCATGTGCCTTCTTCTGTCCCATTGGTTTGCAAGCTTCATAAGGCGCTATATGGCCTTAAACAATCTCCGCGTGCTTGGCTCACAAAGCTCAGTTCTTGTCTCTTACAATGGGGTTTTCACGCTTTCCAAGGCAGATACATCTTTGTTCTTTCTTCATACTACACCTGTACATCTCATTATGCTCGTATATGTTGATGACATAATTGTCACGAGCAACAGTTCTGTTTTCTTGGGGTAGCTCATTCACAAACTCAACTCCATCTTCGCTCTTAAATTTCTTAGGCATCGAGGTTCATCGCACTAATCAAGGATTACATCTCAGCCAGTCCAAGTACATTACGGATATTCTCATAAGGTCTGAAATGCTTGATTGCAAACCATATCATACCCCTATGTCCTCTGGTCCCATGCTTTCTCTTTACGAAGGACAACCTCTAGCAGATCCTTCAGACTACCGAAGTATTGTTGGTGCTCTTCAGTACTACACATTAACTCAGCCTGATATTAGTTTCTCGGTTAACAAGGTGTGCCAATTCTTACATTCTCCTACAACAAACCATTGGCAAGCAGTAAAACGAATTTTGCACTATCTCAAGGCCACTGTTTCCTACGGACTCACTTTACAAGCATCGCCTGATCTTTCTCTTACATGTTACACTGATGCGGATTGGGCAAGCTGCCCGGATGATAGGCGTAGTACTGGAGGATATTGCATCTTTCTTGGACCCAACTTAGTCTCTTGGTCCTCAACTAAACATCGGGTTGTATCGAGACCTAGAACCGGGTCAGAATACCGAGCAATTGCAAATGGCACCTCTGAACTTTTCTGGCTGGAATCTATTCTAGCAGAGCTTTATGTGTCCTTGCCCTCTCCTCCCATATTGTTTTGTGACAATCTTAGTGCCACTTACCTCGCCACTAATCCCGTTCTTCATGCTCGTACCAAGCACGTTGAAATTGATCATCACTTCATCTGAGACAAGGTAATGCAGCTCTCATTAGTTGTCCAGCATGTTCCTTTAGAATATCAACTAGCTGATGTCCTAACTAAGGCCTTACCGTCACAACGGTTTCTGAATCTGCGTGGCAAGCTCAATCTCCTTCCACGGCCAATGAGCTTGAGGGTTGATGTTAGAACAATTGAGGGTGTATAATTATTTTACTCTGTACAGCATTATAGCCTAGCTTTATTTTCCTCTGATAAGTTAGTTATTCTCTCCAATTGTCATTTGTACTGTAGTTCCATTTTCTTGACACGTGTATAGGTTAGTGCTAGCCCTCATTGTATATAAACTATTTTTCTCAGTAAAGATACTTAGTGGACTGAGCATTTCTTCCTCCACCGTTTGCCTCTTCTTCTCTCTGAAAAACCTTCTAAAATCTGATTAAAACAGTGTGAAGACACAAAATAAATGGTCATGTTAACTTCTAGTTGAACACTTGTGTGATGCACAAATGCTTATCAGATTATCACTCATCTGAAATCAAGGGACAAAATTCACAACTACCTAACCGTGTGATTAACTGATAACAAAGCAAAAGGATTTTAGTTATGTTGTGTGACATGGGAAGAGAAACTGTTTTCAGATCGCTTTGATTCAACACACCTCCCTCAATTTGCGCTTTGGATATGCTCTCTCGGCCTTGAATATTTCCAAAGCCTCATCAACTCCAGCAGTTTTCCCTTCCCAAATAACATCCTACAAAATGTAACGGTAAAAATGACATCAGAAGCCTGCTTATCTTCTATTTGGGTACGGTCAACAGTGTGTATCAAATTATCAGCACTTAGCGAAATATGCGCTGCTAAGAAAAGCTTTCTTCTTTTTCATAAGACAACTCAATCAACAACGTCTGTGCACGGAATAAAGTAGGCAATTTAAAGCCGCTACCCACTACTGAAGAAACTACACAATCAGAAAAATTTCAGTAGAGTGCAAGAACATTTGTCATACAAGGCTGGCCATACATGAGAATTTGCTTCGGGCATGAACATGCAGAAACCACACTCATGGCCTAGAACAGCCAGACCACCAGCTTGTTGGCAGCCAGTGATGTACAAATAATCGGCATCTTGTCGAAATGTGTAAGGCACGACACCCGTCATCATCTTTACAGGGGCAGCTGCAATGATAGCCAAGCCCTTCTCTGGAAGAAGCTCCAAGAAATTTTTCCTCCTCAAAACATATTCTTCAGAACTTGTACCTGGCGTAAGCTCCCCTCCTTTCAATAACTGGAAAGGAAATAGCACCATAGTTACAACAAAACGAATATAAGCAAGGTTTTTTTTTTGTTTAAACATTTTTTCACACATTGGTCGCTTGTCAATCTTTCTATGGCATGTAAACCTCTCTTAGTAAGTAGAACCACCTGTGGATGAGATGCAGGACTTGGTTGTCCAATATCAACAACTTTTATCGTACAATATGTACAACGTTTAACAGCCTGCAAAGCCCAAAAAAAAAAAATATTTAAAACAAGACCGGAGTATCGAAATTTGGATGAAGAAATATCCAGGCTTACATAACTTTCGAAAACTGGGAATTTGCAGGAAAAATTTACACATGACATATAAAATCATATTGTGTTAATAATTAGAAATGTATCATGTAATTAAGACTCTTGGGTCACACATGTTTTGAAATGATCAATTGAAACTGTGAAAGACATCGCATCTAAAACTTGTTACACAAAAATTTGCTTCCAACAAAACCCAGTGCTCGGAAGTTAGCTGACCAGAATTTCAACGTAATGAAAAACCAAAGCACTACCAACCTGATATTTAATCCAAAAAATACAATAACCAAAAGCATATAACATAATTTAACCAATTGTATCGTCATTTCTGTGAACTCCTACAGAATTTTAAACTAAATGGATGATAATACACATAACATGAGCTACACTTTACCCAAAAAAGGACTTGATTAGAATATTTAAGAAACACCCACTTCATAACTCAATCCAGAAATCAAAACGACTTAACAGTTAAACCAAAAGTTCAAATGATAAAACTTGTTTGGACTGTTCAACAATATTTCTTAAACTTTTAGTTGACAAGGTACCTGTTTGAGAAAAGAAATTCTCTGCGACAGTTTTCTTACAGGAATCTGCATTTCGAATGATACTCCACGTAATCGTTACAAAGTGTGTTATAGGTAATTTTGTATAAAACCGCTGAACACCAAAAATTTCAGGTGGTTTTAGGGTTTAAGTGTCTGAAAGCGAGCTCGAGAAATTACAGGATCGCCCTTGTTGTTTAAATTAGTGGTTTTGTAATGAAATTAATAGCAATCTCTAATCAGTAATCAGTAATCAGTAATCAGCTCCTGGATTGGGGCCTGCGGTCCATCGACAATCCCAGCTTCAGCTTCTTGGCCGCCTTCAACTCAGTACAGGGGAGCGCACGGAACGGTTTAAACGGCAGGCAATAGTGCGTTTTTACACCACTTGAAAATTTTCATTTAAATAGTTCAGTACAGGGGAGCGCACGGAACGGTTTAAACGGCAGGCAATAGTGCGTTTTTACACCACTTGAAAATTTTCATTTAAATAGTTTTTTTTGTTTTTTTTTAATAGTTCAGTTTCTACTCTGAATAACTATATAAATACTGATCAATACATATTGATCGGTTATTTAAGCTCAACAAATTTTTGGATTGATTTTTTCAGCATAATCCTTCCATTAGAGATACAAACAGGACATCTAAAGGCTAAAGTTATAAAATATTATCAAATTTTGGATGGACATTTGGAAGGAGGGTTCGTGTCATGATTCGACTTATGGTTCGTGACTCGTTACAATATTTTCTCTCACAAAAAATACACGTAAAATAAGAATAGTTCTTAATTATAGTTCTAAATCCATAAATCAAACGTTTTAGTACATCAATGGCTAATATTAGTCTAAGTTTTTTATTAATAAAATACTACTTTTGAATGTTGGGGATAAGAGTTCTAGAGAGAGAAAGTTAGAGAGGTGCTTTGCAACAAGCTTATAGAAATAGTTCTTTAAGGCAGGTGGTCCGGCCATTCGTCAGGTTACCGGCCTCTAAAGTTCGTTGGAGAGATTGCAGACGTCACCGGCATGGGGTTTATGCCGACGGAAGTGTGAATAGTCACCGAAATAGAGTTGTCAAGGGGAAGTAGTTTCTAGTCTTCTACCTTATATCTAAGACGTGTTCGTCGCAGGATTCCTTTGAAATTCCAAGAACTATATCGTGGAAGGGAAGCGAGGAAGGTGGTCTAGAGCGTGTGGGACCCACGCGCCACCGTGTCTCCGGTGCTTTGTCCCCGTTTCAGGAGCTTTTTTCCAACGCCACTCCTACAGTGTTTCACATGCCTCCGGCGTTGAGGGGCTTGATTTTGCTAGTTTGATTTCTTGGGATCCTTGTAGAGTTTTTTCTATTTTTCTGTTTTCTGTCTTTATTTGTGTTGTAATAACAGTGATGGTGTCCCTATCTACCGATGTTAGGTCTTGGTTAGAGGGTGGTCTCCCAACCACTCTAAGTTTGAGTTGTGTAGTCCGTTTTGGGACTGAGATGTGGTTAATCTGGGGTTGTTTCGAAGTGGCCGAACCTTGTTATAGTGCCACTAATTGGAGGAGTTATCTCCGTTATTGGGTAAGGAGTGTGTTTCTATTGTCTAATCATGTAAGTAGCATATAGTTCTTGACTCTGGTTTCGTCTTGTATCTTATCCATTTATTGACTTTTTATTAAAGTTGTGCTATTGCCTTTAAAAGAAATACTACTTTTGCCCCTATTCCGTTAAATTTTTAATAGTTGTTATCAAAATAGGGATAATTATAATAGTTAAACAAATTCAGGGGGTTAGTTGCCAAAATTAAAAGTTTTGAGGACAATTTGCTAAACCATAATAAGTCTAGAGGATAAATATGCTAAAAACCCTTAATAACAAATATTAGACTTACTTTCAATATATATGTATATATATATTGACAATATTTATTTACACCCTAAAATTTTATTAAGGCACCCCCAACATATTTAAAACTTAAAATTTTACATCATACTTTTTCTTATTTCATTCTAATTAATATCTCATATAGTTTGTCAGAAAAATTTGCATCAAAAAATGGTGCCGCTTGTTTCATTAATTCCTAAAAATCATATATTAATTTTAGAATGAAAAACATAAATAAAAATGTAAATTTTTTACCCATCCCGGACCCTGAGCTGGCCCCTGGGCGCCCCACTACGCGGGCCTGGGACTTTTGAACAGTGTTTTACCTTTTTTGTCATTCTTTGAGGTCATTTTTCTTCTGGCACGCCTAGAAAAATGTAAGGATCGTGTCTGTAAAATTTAATTATTTTTTGACGTCGTTTTTATTTTATTATATTTTTAAAGATGAAAAATAAAGAAAATCATAAAAAATAGAATATTCATAAAAAATGGTGCCGCTTGTTGCATTAATTCTTAAAAATCATATATTAATTTTAGGCTACAAAACACAAATAAAAATGTAGATTTTCGACCTATCCCGGCCCTTGAGCTGGCCCCTGGGTGCCCTACTACGCGGGCCGGGACTTTTTTTAAAGCGTTTTACTTTTTTTCATCATTTTTTGAGGTCATTTTTTCTACCACGCCTAAAAAAATGTAAGGATCGTGTATGTAAAATTTCATTATTTTTTAACGTCATTTTTATTTTATTATATTTTTTAAAGACGAAAAATAAAGAAAATCATAAAAAATAGAATATTCATCAAAAAATAGTGCTGCTTGTTCCACTAATTCCTAAAAATCATATATTAATTTTAAAATACAAAACATAAATAAAAATGTAAATTTTTTACCCATCTCGGCCCCTGAACTGGCCATTGGGCGCCCTATTAAGCAGGTCGGGGGCATTTTGACAGTGTTTTAATTTTTTTTGTCATTTTTTGAGACCATTTTTTCTGTCATGTCTAGAAAAATGTAAGGATCGTGTCTGCAAAATTTCATTATTTTTTTACGTCATTTTTATTTTATTATATATTTTAAAGATGAAAAATAAAGAAAATCATAAAAAAGAGAATATTCATCAAAACATGGTTCCGCTTGTTGCATTAATTCCTAAAAATCATATATTAATTTTAGAATGCAAAACTTAAATAAAAATGTAAATTTTTTACCCATCCCGACTCCTGAGTTGGCCCCTGGGTGCCCCACTACGCCGGTCGAGGGCTTTTTCACAGCGTTTTACTTTTTTTGTCATTTTTTGAGGCTATTTTTTTCTGCATGCCTAAAAAAAAGGTAAGGACCGTGTCTGTAAAATTTCATTATTTTTTTACGTCAATTTTATTCTATTATATTTATTAAATACGAAAAATAAAGAAAATCATAAAAAAATAGAATATTTATCAAAAAAATGGTGCCGCTTGTTGCATTAATTCCTAAAAATCATATATTAATTTTAGAATGCAAAATCTAAATAAAAATGTAAATTTTTTATCAATCCTGGCCCCTGAGCTGGCCCTTGGGCGCCCTACTACGCGGGTCGGGGGCTTTTTTACGGTGTTTTACTTTTTTTTGTCATTTTTTGAGACCTTTTTTTGGCATGTCTAGAAAAATGTAAGGATCGCGTCTGCAAAATTTCATTATTTTTTTACGTCGTTTTTATTTTATTATATTTTATAAATATGAAAAATAAATAAAATAATAAAAAATAGAATATTCATAAAAAAAGTATACTGCTTGTTGGATTAATTCTTAAAAATCATATATTAGTTTTAGAATGAAAAATAAAAATAAAAATGTAAATTTTTTACCCGTCTCGACCCCTGAGCTTGCCCTTAGGCTCCCTACTAGGCGGGGCGGGGGGCTTTTTGACTGCGTTTTACTTTTTTGTTATTTTTTAGGCCACTTTTTTCTGGCATGCCTAGAAAAAATGTATGGATTGTGTCTGTAAAATTTCATTATATTTTGACGTCATTTTTATTTTATTATATTTTATAAATGCAAAAAATAAAGAAAATCATAAAAAAATAGAATATTTATCAAAAAATGGTAATGTTTGTTCTTAAAAATCATATATTAATTTGATAATACAAAACATAGATGAATATGCAAATTTTTTACCCATCCCGGCCCCTAAGCTGGCCCTTAGGCGCCCTACTACGCGGGTCGGGGACTTTTTGACAGTGTTTTACTTTTTTTGTCATTTTTTGAGGCCATTTTTTTCTCGCATGCCTAGAAAAATGTAAGGATCATGTCTATAAAATTTAACTATTTTTTGACGTCGTCTTTATTTTGTTATTTTTTTTAAATACAAAAAATAAAAAAAATCATAAAAAACAGAATATTCATCAAAAAATGGCGCCACTTGTTGCATTAATTCAAAAAAATCATATATTAATTTTAGAATGCAAAACATAAATAAAAATGTAAATTTTTTATCCATCCCAACACCTGAGCATGCCGTTGGGCGGCCCACTACGCGTGCCA